AAAAAAAAAAAAAAAATATTTTCAATAATGTCCAAACGTCTAAGCTACTATGGCATGGGATGAGAAGACAGGAAAACGGAAATCCTTTTCGTGCTGCGAAGCCATATCCTCTTATATGTATATGTGTGTATAGAGATATGTATATGCCATTGCGTGTGAAAGATACAACAATGATTTGTGGAACCTATATACTGCGTGACTTATTATACTGCCTTACTTAATTCCATTATAGAATAAAATTTAAGTGTTCAAACCAAATATACGATGTTAAAACACACAATAATATGCCTAAAATAATGATTGGATCGTTGTATATTCATTTATTACGCTTATGCATTTATTGTTTATTAGGATTGAAATTGTATTTAGTTTAGACGATTGAACTTTGGTCGTGGTATTTCATTGCGCAAAAAGTAACTTTTTATGATCTTCTTATATTATTAATTTTAATATTTGGTTCAACTGTTTTCTTTAAATAATTCCTTGGTGACGAACAGGATAACGTAAAATGAATAACTTTTATAAAAACTAATAAAATAAATAAAATAGTGCAAATGTTAAAATTTATTTCAATTCATTACGTTATTATTTATTTATTTTTTATTTATTGTCACACTGATTAATAGTCTCTGTTTGTTTCTAAATTTAAAGATAATCGAAGAAAAATTCCTTTCATACAATTTTTCGTTTCAAAGATAATAGCTTCTACTTTTAGATGCCTCGTAAGATCAAAGCTTCCGATTAATTTAATTTCGAGATCGCAGAAAGGTCGTTTCATGATTCCACGAAGACGTAGATTTACATATTTATTTTTCACATGGGTCAAAATATTATAATCATAGATTGAAAATAAAAACGAAGATAAACGAAGATAGACTATTATATAATTATTACACCGAAATAAAATGATAGCCCTATCAAAAAATTCTAAAATAAATAACACTCAGTGTCTACGAATTATAGTTTATGAATTTACGAATGAACAGACGTAGATTTTAACAAGTCTTGAACGCGATTTAAAAGATTAATTTCGTTTTCCCAGTGAAAATCTATTATCATTATAATTAATTATAGCATTGCAATTAATTATATTATTAATAAATACGTTATCTCTTGCAATGACGAAGTGCTACTTGGAACAATCAATGTCGATGGAGGAGAACAAAGTAACGAACGTGCCTTTGTTATCGAGCAAAATTCATTATCTAACGTAATTAGGTACATGTTATGCATGTGCGCGCTATGTCTTTGAACGCTACTTAATGCTCATAAGACTTTAAGATTTCATGTCTCTTTTATATTTTTTGATTATAGTTATATAAGCAAACCTCAGATTTTATGAAAAATATAATAAAATAAAATGAATATTCAAGTTCCTATAATGCTCTGTTTGTTTCTACTTTGTCTTTAGAGGATAATAATTTATTTATTAAACATAGTCCCTGCCTTTCGGCTTTGAACGACTTCCGGTTTACATACTTTCTTACATTACTTACACTTACGTTACAGAACACTTATGCTACTTGTCATTGCACTTCGTTATTTTGTCCTACCCTTCTGCCTGTCGTTCTTTGGCCTTTGAATTTAGCTGTACTCTCTTCTCTTTAGAGGATAATAATAATTTTACTACAAAATGGGTTCATTGTAGTGTGTACAATATAGGTTTGTACGAAATATTTATATAGCGACTACAAAAAGTATTTGCACTTATGTTTATTTTTAAATGAAACACGTTTTACCTGATTCTATACTTCATTCTCATAGTATCAAATTTTTGCAGTCATATATACGAAGATACTACTAAATGATGCAAATTTAATATACTTAGATGTGTTTAATTAATATACAGGGTAACTGGCGGCACAAGAGGAAAGGGGGTGATTCTACGCGTAAAAAGAAGTCGAAAATATAGAATAAAAATTGTTCGTTTGAGGTTTTGTTTTCGAGAAAATCGACTTTGAATTTTCGTTGATCGTTGTCTGGATGGAAAAATTAAAAAAAAAATTTTTTATTCTATATTTTCCACTTCTTTTTTCGCGTAGAATCACCCCCTTTCCGCTTGTATCGCCAGTTACCAACCACCCTGTATACGTAAAAGCAAATACACAAAATACATACTATACAATAGTCTGAAAATACTTCCTGTAGTCATTTCATTTTTGGCAATACTATACCCCAGAAATTTTCTATTTTCGTTTACAAATCACTTATACCGCATTCATGTTACATTTCGTCATTACATTACATTTTAAGGTATTAATTCTGTTTACTATGTGAATTATCAAATGGATGGAATAAAATCTATAAAATATCAAAGTACTTCACACTAGAAATCCAAAAATTGAAAGTACACTCTGTGGTGTACAAAATTTCGCCGTGTACATCCTATTTTTATTTCACAAACCAATCTACTCTGAACTAAATCTCCAAATCTTCTTTAATCTTTCCCCAATCAACCCTAAATATAGCGCAATCGCAAAATCTAATCGAAAGGGGCGAGATTATACGTTATTCTTCGTCCAAGCTTTCACCTCTAATTTTTTATCGAAATATCGAACTGGTCGACTGGCGATTTTTACCTAACTGATGTTTCCAAGCTGATAATTCGCAAAAGCTTTCCATTTATTTCAAACCAAAATAGAAAAAGCTGACAAAAAAATGACTGAACAGTACGTAGACTGTAAGAATCAAGATTACATGATATTTCACTCTGTCTGAAAGTTTCACGTATCAGCTTTAATTCCCTATCAGACTGGTCGATTAGCGAGATTAGAGTTTTGTCTAATCGATGTCTTCAAGCTACTCGATAACTTGTGGAAGGATTCAATTCATTTGGAGTTTCTTGAGCTCATTTTTCAACCTCATCGTCCTCCTATTTGCATCGCGAGAAGTTCACTCCAAGAAAACGATTTTCATTAACAATAATGAGTGTTAGCTCTGTTGATGAAGCAGTTGAAATAATAATTATCCTGCGGCTTTCTTTTCCTTCGCCTAGGACGAACATGCTTAAAGCAGTCTTGTTCAACTCTTATACGCGAATAAGGGCTGATTTATCCTAAATATTCAGAAACAAATTACCATTGAGACAATTTTGTACTCGTGTTAACCGTTTGATACGTTCTTTGAATTTTTATATTCTAATTTTGGTCCTACTTTAAAGGATAGATCGATGTTGCGAGAAAAATATTAAAAGATTAAGAGAAATTTCTTCGTCAAATTGAAAGAAGAGATCATGAATATTAATAGCGACTCTTCCATGATTTAAGCTGTTTCGAAATTGAGAAATTTTTTAATGATAGAAAAACAGGATGGCGTTGAAAGGCTGAATTGAAAATTAATTTAAATCTCTCAGACGGAGAACCAATTAAATCCATCTCTCTCCTGAATTTTTGAATACCAATTTTCGGATGTGTATAAATGATAAAGATTAAGATAATAAAGATTAAAATAATTAAGATAATAAAGATTAAGGCTGAACACAATTGTTCAAAACGATAACTGTTGCGACGAACGTTATTTCATGCATTTGTAGACAGTACACACTCGTTTCTGTCTTTTTTCTTTTTTTTTTTTGCGTCAATTGGCAAATGAAGTGCAGGAAATATGGAGGTTTGTGAGATTGTAACGTTTTCACACACGACGTACATACATATTTATATTTGAAAGGCAGACGAAAGGGGGAAACGAGCAAATTGCGAATGCGTCCCATAAATATGCAACGATATCAATATGGACACTACCTCACGCTTTACAAACAACTGCATGAAGATCTACGTTACACCTTTTTTTTTCTACCTCGCTAATTAATGATTCAGTATCAGTGTTATTCGATATTTCTGTTGTTTCTAATAACAAGCTAAAGCGATGACTATTTCCCATGATTATCAAACAGTGGACATCTGACAGTACATTCGTGTGACTTGTATTCACGGGTGTACGATTCAGCGCGATACATGTTCGACATCCGTTCTAATATAAATATGTCGATGAAAAAATAATGGTCGTTGCACCGTACGTTGCCAGTGATGTACGTTCCTAACATATAAGTTCTAATAAACGACAATATATTAGGTCATCCCATAAGTTCGTGCCGATTTTTGTGTATACATTTCATGTGTCGATTTATCAACATACGGCGATAAGGGACCAATGCACTTGAGCTTAGCTGATCGAGAACTGGCTAGAGCAGATTTTCGTGGATGTAAGATCGTAATATAGCGAACACAGTGACTTCTAACAGTAAAAAATCATGAGTGAAATGCGTATCCACTTTCGACATCTCATGTTATATGAATTTCGGAAAGGAAGTTCTGTAACAATTGCCACGAAAAACATATGTGCTGTTTACGGAGAAAATGCGCTTTCATCTCGCACCTGTAGGAAGCGGTTCCAACGTTTTAGAGCTGGGAATTTCTGTTTAGAAGACGAGGAACGCTCCGGGCTTCCTCCTCAGACAGACGAAGATAAAATTGGGGATCTTGTTGAAAAATCACGAAGTTTGACGGTTCAAGAGATGTCAAATGTTCTGAAAATACCTAAGACAACGATTCATAGGTGTTTAAGAAAAATAACACATATAACCGGTCGAAAAACGGCACGAACTTATGGGATGACCTAATATTTCTATAACGGGTGTCGCGTTCATATTCGTGTCCCAAAGGGAAAATCATAAAAAATGACTTTCAGAAAAAACTTCATCCGTCATTATATGTGCCCTTCCATGCAGTGTAAGTTTGTCTCTGGAGACTTTGCACGCTACCATTAATGATAGAGATATGTAGATGTTTCCGTAAAGCCATAAAGCAAATGTTAATTTGGATTATTTAATTAAATATTTAATTATTTAATTAATTAAATCTTCTGATTTCTATATCCGTTAGATTATTGAAATCTCTATATCTTCTTTCCTCTTTTTTCCCTCTTTACTGTATATTTTCCATATTTTACAGAAATAATATAATAAATAATTTCCACAAATAGGCTGCTTGATATTAATACAATTTTAACACGTACAATAATAATAATTAATATTGTAATTAATAACACTATACAAATATATTAGTACAGTACAGTGATAATTAGACTGCGGATTTTCATGAAAATTCATATTTTTGAGAATATAATTAAAAAATTAGAATCACGGTAGAGAATTGTTTCACCTACCAAGTAGTACAGAAAGCATTATGCTCTGGATATTTTATATATTTTTTTATATTATGCGCATTCTGTGCAATTTTGCACTTTGCAATTGCAATTTGCTATAAATGCATAAAAATCCAATCAGTTAAGTAATAATACATAAATTACGTACATATATATAATATGACATAGAAGAGAAGAAGTAGAATATAGAGATTTATCCACTTATGAAAAATTTGAAGAGCAAAATGGATAATTACAAAATACAAAATAAAAAATAAAAAATAAAAATTATGAATATAACATTCGTTATAACATCTAATAGCTAACCAATTTCCAGGTTATATTTTTTAATTATCATCGCTAAAGTATAAATCATAAATTGTATAAATATCCTCAATGTAATGCTACATAAATAAATTAAATTTTTAAGATATAGGTCCATGTATATGAATACATAACCGTCGAGTTATATAGGCGTACATACAGGGTTGAAACAGTTTGTCATTCTCACATATTCTTTTCCATTTTAACCAGTCATGTTGGATCTATAGATCTTTTTCAGCACTCTCTGTCTAAAGAGAACAATACTTTATGCATATCATAATGAGCTCCATCCATGAACAGAACTTTGTGAGAAGAACTCGTTGCTTACGCAATGCCACCGAATAAACTAGTTTCTGGGCTCGCGTCGATGTGATACGTGAAGCGTTTGTTAGACGAAATTCTGGGCTTGAGACGCGACGTGTGTTCCACATGGGCGACAAGTACCTGGTTAGAAAATGCGATTTGCTTTTTCGATCGAGACTTATGCAAATTTTTCGACGGCTGCTCAACACGGCGTGATTTTTATGAAAATTGACCGACTTTCTCAAAGGAGAACACGGTCTATATATGCATATGGATCAAGTTTAATAGGGATGGAAACTCATTTTGACTTTACCGCAGGGACGAAGAATTTTTTCCAAGTGGAGCAAGTTATTAAGGTTGTTCTTATTAAATTCTTTCCGGACTTGTTGGCTTTCATTTCGGCATTTGTTAAATATATTATTTTTTAAGTGGATTTCGTACTGGATGAATCAGAGTTATTTATCGAGTATCGTCATATTCCTATATGCATAGTCATAAATAAAGCTAGATATATATAATAATTAAATATAATTTCTTTTGCGTTCCATCGGTATATTGCCTTTTCAATAAAATCTTACACTTTGTATCTTAGTAAGTTTATGTCACAGATGTAAAAACTAATTTGTTTCATAACGAATAAGGATAATGCTTTTGAAAAACTAAGTCGATGAACGTTACATCATCATTCATATTAATGTAATAGATATAGATACATTGTTATATATACAAAATAATATATAATATATAATACAGTTACAGTACACCTAACATAATTGAAATGAATTAATTTGCCACGTGATGTGATTAAATTATCTATACAACTGTTAATAGTCTAGAATTATACTAAACTATTAGGAAGTACAATGAAAACCTGTTGAGAATTGTGAATCTTTGAAGCCGAAATAATGTTATAGGAACACTAAATTTATACTGAAGATTAATATTAAAATAATAATATATTTATTTTATGGACGATTTCTTATATATTCATCGATACACAACACTTGCACGCGTCTCAGCACTTTCTTCTATACCCGACTGTTAACCGACTGAATAATAGTTTACATTCATCTGTTTTCGAGACGCCGCGCACACACATACCTCCACACACTGATACCCACATACAAGTATTTCTTTTTTTTTTATATTTTACGTGGAGGAAATCCGCACGGACGCCAGGCCGCTTCTGGGGAAAGCGGCGTGGTAGTGTCGGACTCCAACCGACTAAAACCCTCCACGATAACTGTCCCCCGGCTGCGATCGAGAGAGGCCCGGGGAAC